GCCCAGCCTGCAGTGAACGGAGACACACCCACCAAAACACAGAGACATACAAAAACCCAAAAACCCAAAATACAGTGAACACAAGTCTAGGACCCTCACACACATCTTCATAAGAGTCGATTTTAAGAGAAGTGGATGTGAAAGCATCTATAAATTTGGATGCAGAGGTAGAGTTAAAAACACGAGAGCAGACATAGTTTGGGTTGTTTTTGATTTGCTTGCACTTGACCTCTGAGGTAAACATTATGCACTTGTGGTCTGAGACAATGAAATCTTTACATGACACATTTTCCAGTAGAATGCCATGAGTGAGAACAAGGTCGAGGGTTTGGCTTTTGTTATGGGTAGGCCCAGTGATCATTCTACTTAAGTTAAAAGACTCTAAAATGGTTAAAAACTCAGTAGCTAATAGGTTGTCATGGCAACAGACATAAATATTAAAGTCTCCTACAAACAGAATGCGGTCATATTTAGGAATAGCTAGAGAAAGCAACTCTACTACTACTATTGAACAGTTGTAGTCATTGTTATAAATTACAGCAAGTCCTTCCCCTCTGCCAGATAATCTGGGATGATTTAAAAAAGAGAAGTTGAGGGGGAGGATTCAATAAGAGGGGCAGAGTCACCTGCGTTTAGCCATGTTTAAGTTAACATGAAGAAGTCAAACCTATTGGACGTGATGAAATCCTGGCAAATAAAAGATTTGTTTGAAAGAGACCTGATATTAAGCAGACCAAAATTAACAGTATGTCCAGTGATAGGAGTTTGAGTTACAGCAATTAGACTACGTGTGTTGTTACAGTTTACAGGATATGCAGTATTTCTGTTAAACCCATTAGTAGCACAGACAATGGGGCGTCTGGTATGTAATAGAACAGGTATGTAACGACCAGGCGCATTAATAGGCTCGGCGGGTTGGGGAGCATCTGTCTGAGATATGGGACCGTGAGACAGAACAACAGATTCCGAGAGATTAGAAGTAGAGAGATGACACACAGCAGGGTTGAACTGATAATCAGGAGACTGAGGACTGAGAGCGCACTGCAATATAGTGGATAATATTCCATACAGTGTGGCAGGTTGATCTTTTAGTGGCATGTTGAAAGTGAAACAGTCCCTTTCTATGTTCCAGTGGATACCAAATGCTCTCTCTGTTTGTATCTCACTGAAAGCAAGGTCCCCAGTTACATGTTCTGATGCTGGTATGCTGTTCAAAACAGCAGCGTTATTTTGATATTGAATTTGTGGAGTAGCAGACCACCCTTATTACACAGTTCACGTGCCTCTTGTGCCATCTGTGTGGCCCTTTCCACTGTTTCTGCACTTGTGACTCCATCATCCACATAGAAGTCTCTGGCAATGAACTGTGCTCCCAATGGATGTGTAAGGCTGTTCTCTCTAGCTAGATGTTTTTAGCCCATAGTTTGCACATCCTGGGGAAGACACTGCACCAAAGAGATGTACTGTGATCTTGTACTCCTGTGGTGGCGTGCTTAGGTTTCTGTTTTTGCACCATGGGATGCGGAGGTTGTTTCGATCCTTTTCTTCAACTTGAAATTGGTGAAACATTTTTTCAGTGTCACACATTAAAGCTGTTTGATGCTGTCGAAAGCATACAAGGACGCCTCATATGTTGTTGATCATGCCTGGTCCGGATAGAAGGTGATCGTTAAGGCTGGTTCCTTTATGTTTGGCAGAACAGTCAAAGACGACACACAGTTTGTTTGGCTTCTTTGAATGATATATGCCATGATGTGGTGTATACCATTTTTCACCTGGAGGTTCATCTTCCTTAACTTCCTCTGCATCACCTCTCTCGATGATTTCATTAATATACTTAACATAATCGTCTTTGTATCTCTCATTGCTGGAGAGTTTTCTCTGAAAGTGGCGGCATCTGACTTCTGCTAGCTGTCTGTTATCAGACGTGTGGTCTCTCTTTGGAGGGCATTTCATAATGTCCCCTTTCATTTTTCTTTATGCCTGTCTTGAGTTTGTCGAGGAAGATGAGATCTTCTTGAGACACGGTCTTGTCATTTCCACCTACTTCTTTGAAGTCACTTTCTAATACATGAAGTGCATCCAGGGAAGTTACTGGAGGTATTTCCTTTATGACCACACGATGACAGAGGCTGTTCATGGTACCTGTTTGGAGGCAAGATGCTACACTGCCAACTATGCTCCACCCGAAGTTGGCCTGGACAGCATAAGGCTCATCATCTTTGACTAATATCACCTGTCTAGGCGCTAATGCTCTGGAACAGTTACAACCAATCAAGAGACCTGCTTCACAACTGAGGAGAGGTGGGACTTGATCTATGATTGTGGACAGGTGATTCCAGAGCCTAGCTGTTTCGCAGGTTGGTACGTGGTGACGATTCACAGGTATACAGTCCTTCGTATACACAGGCGGGAGGTCAATGTGTGTTGCAGAGCTGTGTCCTCTCACATGGAGACCAGGCACCCTTTCGCTGTTTACAACTGCGTTCTCTCCCATCATAGCAGTTAGTTTTAGTTTCACTGGACAAGCATCCACTTGCAGCTCACGGCTAACCTCTTGATCGACAAAAGCAGTATCACTTTGTGTGTCTAACAAGGCGTAGACAAGTTTCTCTTTGTATGGGTTTGCAGCAGATGACAACCACACTGGAACAATCACTGACGTACTTGCAGCTTGTCCTTCCGTGGTGACATTGAAAGACATTGCAGCTGTAATTTCTGGTGTGTTTTTCTGTATTGCACTTTCCTTATTTACATGCCTTTCTCCTTTATCGTGTCTGACGTAGTTGTCATCGTGAAGGCAAGTTGGATGCTTTCACATGCAGATGTTCCAGGTGAGGCGGCGTCGGCAGTCCTTCGCACTGTGACCCTTTTTCAAACAGCCATAACAAAGTTTATTGCTCTAAACATATGTTTTTATTTCTTCCAACAACCTGCTCGTGAGGTTTGGGCACTTGTAGAGCTGATGGGAGTTTTGGCACAGCATGCATGGTGATCTCACATTTGCATTAGTTGAGATTTGCTTGTCATCTTGTATATCTGTTTTTGTGTTGAAGACACTTGCTTTGTTTCTTTTGATGTCTTTTGGATTTCTTTTGTCAACAGATAACTCAGAAGAACGAGGAGCGTAGGTGGAGGTGGCTGGGTTACAGGCAACGTCAGCTTCCAACGACAGAAATGCAGCAAAGTCACTGAAACTGGGAAATTCTTTGTTTTTGATCAGTACTTTAGTAACCTGGCAGTTCCATCTAGCAGCTGCCCAATCTGGCAGTTTGAGTAATAATCTTTGATTTTCTTCACAATCATTCAGTATTTCCAAGCCTTTCATATGAGGCATGGCTATTAGACAAGCATTTCTGAAGTCAGCAAAGTTTCTTAGTCCTTCTGCCTCATCATTTCTGAAGAAGATGCCTTCTAGACATGCATGAGCAGGTCCACAAGCGTACTTCTTCAGATAGTACAGTTTATCTGCAGCAGAAATGCCGTTTTGGTCGATCAGTGACATAAAGGATGCTTTCCACTCGATAAAATGGATTGGCTCACCTCTAAATACTGTTGGCTCTGGCATAGGGAGTCTGTTCATTGTGATGCTGTCTTGAACAGCCTGTGCTAGTAGAGCAACATCAGAAGGTGCAGGCAACAAGACTTTATTGGATGGGTGTGTGGCACGGGGCTGAACTGTGGGCTTTTCCAACCTTTTCTGTGCAATCTGTGGAATTATTATTATTATTATTATTGTTGTTATTATTATTATTATATTATATACCAATGCTATACTTTTCTTGTAAAATTACCTAACTTTTAGGGAACATTGCCTGAACGTTTTATTTGCTGGAATATGTTTGCATTACATAAGAATACAATAAAACGTTTATTTTGTTTTATTTTTTAAATTAAATATGCGTATCATATATGCATTATTTTTTTATAGTCGTATTATATTTGTAGTCAATTTATGGAAATGAAGTGATAGTTAATGCAAAAATACGGACATGAATTAATATAATAAATTATTTATTTTTATCTTCAATTTTGAATTTAATAAAAAAAAATATACTATACAATTTCCGTGATAGAAAATAAATGTCTAATTATTACCTGTGCGTAGTAGAAAAAAAAATCAAAAATATTAATTAAAAAAGACATAATAAACTGTGTCACAATGTGTAATAAAATAAAGTTTAATTTCATAAACTGTGGCTTTGTGTTGGCATCACGGCCCTCCCCGGGGTGATTGACAGCTCCTCGGCCCTGCCTGCGTCGCTCCAGCCGGCCTCCGCCATCTTGCCTCCTCCCTGGCAGCCAGAAAGCCGAGTGCGGAAGTGGAAACGGCACTGTGCGGGCTCGGGGTTCCGCCTGTGGACGGCTTGTCAGATCCTCCAGCCGACACAGCCTGCTATCCATCCCGTTTAACCGTCTCTAAAATAATAAACCAAACAAAGCGTCAGAAAACCCCGGAGGAGCGATGGCTGGACGGTTACCGGCGTGTGTTGTCGACTGCGGGACAGGGTGAGTTGTTCACACCGGACCGCCGTGCAAGACAAGAGGGGGGCTCGGGTGTCACCGAGAGGCTGAGCTCGGTTACGGTACTGTCAGTGTCAGCAGCAGCGGCGGCGGCGGCAGCAGCAGCAACTGGGTGTGTTTGTCCGGGTCTGTGTTTATGCACACAGCTAGCTAGTGAGCTAACATGCTAACTTATAGCTAACTGTCACATCTCCCGGTTGTTTAAGCGCTCCGAGCTGCTCTGTTGTGCGCAGGCGTCGCTTATTATTTTATTTTTTTATTTGTAAAACGTTCGTTATCCTGCTGCTTAGCTCCTTCCATCATCACCAGTCTGTTTTGTTCCCACCGAAGCTATTTCCCTGCAGCAGCTCAGCTAGTGTTTGCTGTTGCAAGACTGAAACCTGAGTGAGGAAGGTCTTTTCCCCTCCGCAGCTGGTTTCATTCATTTGCACTTAGCAAGCTGTAATTGCAACTAAAACCAAACATTCTGTGCGGGTTGACCCGATTTGCCACTCGGATGCCTTTCTCGGCACAACTAGCCGTGATATTAGCAATTCATAAATGGGTTTTGCTCAGTAATGTAGACTCGGAGCAGGCGCAGTGCTACTTCCTATACAGCCTACACTTCCTCATTCACGCTTTTTAGTCCATATATGGTCGTTTCTCGGCATCCGAGCATGTTTTTTTTTTTTTTTTTAAACTTCTCTAATTTCTCTTCTTTACGAGGCTACTGATTTTGTTTCCTCCCACATTTAATTAGTTTTAAATATATTTCAAAGCTAAGAATTTGCTAGGGCAATAAATGTTGTTTCTAGCTAATACCTTAGCTCTTCCTGCAGCACTGTTTGTATGGATCCGTTGTGCTGCACATACCTTCTGTCTTACTTTAGTAGCAGGTAGAGCTTCCCTCCTCATTGTTTCCCCTTTAGAAATAAAAGATCAACTTTAGTCTGACACTTGAAACATTGCTATCAGTTTATATTTTGTTCCATCATTGCTTAAATATATATTTTTTTAACAGTGTAGGCACTTTGATTCAGCCCAATAACAAAGCTGAGCCTGACAGGAATGTTTGGTTAATTTTGGGGGCTAAAAGTGGTTTGCATTGCTTGCATGTAGAGGCTTGAACTCGTCGCTCCTCACATTGCATACCTCCCCTCCCTTTCAGCCTGTTAACCAGCCTCTGATCTGCACTGGGACAGCAAAAGAAAGTGCAGCAGAGAATTGGGTTAGCCTGTGCTAATTTCTTCTCACCAAGCAGATGGCTTCTACTTTTCGGGCCAAGGCATATGTTCCACTATCCGTTACTACAAAAACAGCTTCTTTTTTTTCCCCTTTTTTTTTATCAGCAAAAATAACATTTGCTCACAAGGGTGCAGTTTAGATTGAAATTTAGTTGATGCTTAGGTTTTTTTTTTTTCTTAAGTGGAAACTTTGACATGCATTAGATTTGCAGCTGAGCCACAGTGTGCCAGCTATCTGCAGATGTTGTAAAGTGCTGAGGGAGTTCAACAGCTGTCTCTGAGTCATGCTCAAAATGTCCAAATAATGACAACTTCACTTCCTTGTTACTCGTCATCCTTCTAAGTGGCCTGGCTGCTATTCTTAGATTAGACTACTTGACCAGTGCATGAAAGAACCGCTGGTTATATTTGGGTATAGTTTTAGGTAGGTTGCCTTTAGCGCACAGCTATCGCTGCGCAAAAGGTGTCAAAGAAATCTCAGGTGCATGTAGGTGGAGTAATTTGTCCTCTGTGTTTAGCAAACAAATTTCATGACTCATCAATCAACAATTTTAGGTTCTATTTTGCCCCAAAAAATGGTCTCAGGAGTTCAGGTTTTTATACTCGGCTTCAGCTGTCATGTGAAATGATGTCCACCGTCAGACATGTGGTGTGTTTTAAGCTTGTCAAGGCAGGTTGAGGTCGACAAGCTGGGACTGTTCTTCGGTATGAAGGTGTTTCAGAATGCTGCATTCTGTTGCCGTCAGCCCATGTTGTTGTTACTGGTATGAAAAACGCTGGTTTTAACCCCAATCATCAGTTTATTACTACTATTATAATTATTAATTGGCTGGTCGCTAACTTTGTCCTTTTGTAACATTTGGTGCAGCTCAGGTTGTGTCCAGAGGATTTATCAGCTTGAACATGGTTAGCTTTTTGTATTAGCTGAAAATACAGTTGATTTAAGTTGCAAAAGTGAACCAACATTTAAAATAAAAACAACATTGATATAAGTGTTAGGAGGACACATTCAGTGTTGAGGTCCTGCTAATAAGTTTTGTTTTCTAGTTTGTATCTTGTCTTCATTTAAAAGCTTGTAGTTGTATATATTTAATGGCCCTTGGTACTCCTGTATTTATTTAAAGTCTTTTTATTGTCTCTGTATTTTGCAGAGGTTGTTGTAAGTTTGTCTTATGGAATAAAAAAGCATGGGAGCTGCTTAGAAAATCTCCCTGAGTTTGTCATATTGAGTAGATATGCTTTTTAAAACTTTTTTGACAGTTTGCCTCTGGAAAAATGCACTTCATACATTCAATATATATTTTTTTGCAGTTTAGGAATTTGTCTAATCTGAAGGAACTTGCGCTGTTCTATTGACAAATAGGCGCAGTTGCAAGATTAGATTGTACTGTAATACTGTGTTCATGTACCGTGATGTTTTCAGATCTTTACAAACCAACAGTTGCTCAGTTGAAGCTGAGAATAAAAAAACTAAACTAGTGGTGTGCAGACAGGGTGAGATCATTTTACCCAAACTAACTAGACAGACATCAGATTGTAAGTAAAATCTCTGCAGCTGAGAAGCAGCATTTCAACAGATACACATGCAACACACATAGGCTTTTAGAGTGGTTTATTATTATTTTTCTCTTCTACTACAATCAATAAATAAATATTAACACACTTGAGTCAGTAGTAAATGTGTAACAGGAATAGGAAGTGATATTTTCTCATGTTCCGTGGTCATAACAAGTTGCAGTGTTGGTGTTTTACACTTTAGTAGTGCTCCAGTCTTATATATGCTGTTTCTTAATCCTATATTTGTGCTTTTTGTGTGAATTTATTCTGCACAGATGTCTGTTGTTGCATATGTATATAAAAGTCAATCAGAATGGGCAATCCAGGGAGAAGAAACCTGTGCTTGTAGGGTTTACTTGGGATCCCTGTCTACCTTTTTGCCATGACATGTTTTTAGGGCTCTCTCATAATCTTTCAAAGTTTTGTCTTTTTGAATACTGCTGATGTGGTCCTTCCTGGTACTTTTTTTATTTTTTTGTGCAATTCAAAGGAGCCACTGTTATGACCAGGATGTGGTCTATTATGCCCACAGTGCTTTGGCATTCGTCAGCAGCGTCCTCTATCAGTCCCTCGGGCCATGTGTGCAGGAAGCATAGACTCCTGTCTGGGTCTCCTCCAGTCAGGACTACATCTGGCTAGCATGTGCCCCGCAAAGCACCACTCGCACCAAAAGGAGACGGCTATAAACCGACGGCCTTGATGTTCAGGCTGAGGTGTGCTCCCAGTGTCTGAACTGACTTTCATGTGAACATAGACAGGGAAGTGTTGCTTATTGATCCCAGACCTGAAACACAAGTACATTTTTTATACATATGACTTCTCTCTTTGTGATTGCTTATAGAGAAGTAGGTAATGCGGCATTTAGTGTTCACCACTGAGGTCACAGTTAGTTTATGGTAGCGATGTTCAATTTATACATACTGCCCTTATTTCCCCCTCTTGACGAATATGAGTAGTTTGCTCAGTTTACCAATGCAACATGAATGGCTCTTTTTATGGCCTCCCATTAGCAACCCCCAGAGCTGCTGCTGCTTTTGGCATCCAACCAGCGAGCCAAAGGACAGTGACGGCATTGATCAAAACGATAGCACACATCTCGCCAAAAATAAACTAAACTTTCATTCACACAAATGCGGTGCCAGCAGTGTGGCTGGTGTTTTCTGTTGTAGTTTAAAAAATATATATATACATGTAGCTTCCTTCTTGTAGTGACACATAATTAATTTCTCTTGCAGTTACACCAAACTGGGGTATGCAGGGAACACAGAGCCACAGTTCATCGTCCCATCATGTGAGTATTTCGCTGTGCGTTGAATTCCCATCACAACACATGCATCTTTAATACAAGGGACATGTTTTCCTGTTTGGACAACTTCATTTACTTGTCCTAATTATTCAAAATGTGCTCCAAAAAGATGCTCCTATTAACTCGAGATCATTCTTGTAACACTACTTATCCAGCTTTCCATTTTCATTTACCCATAAAATGTGCTTAAAATTCTCGAGAAACTGTAACTCTCTGTTGAATTCTCTCTTTTCTCGTCAGGTATTGCCATCAAAGAGTCAGCCAAGGTCGGAGACCAGGCCCAGCGGAGGATGATGAAGGGGGTGGATGACTTGGATTTCTACATCGGCGATGAAGCAGTAGACAAACCCACATATTCCACTAAGGTACACGACCCTGGCGCTAGCAGAAACACTTGAATCTCGAAAGAAAGTGAAATGTTCAAACAGGTACTGTGTTGAATGTTTTATAAAGAAGAGGCTGGTTAAAGAAGACCCGGTTAACTCTTTACTTTGCATCTAAATTCACATCCTCGTCTTCTTAAGTGAATTGCTCTCGAAGTATCTTATGCAGGTAGTTGTCGCACGAATCGAATGAAACTTGACCTTTCCAACAATGTTAGTTGCTTTTGTGTGAGAAATACAGGCTGCTGCGTTCCAATATCCCTACTACCTTACTATATGGTACAGTAGAAGAAGATTTTGTTGGGTAATTACCCTGAAAATGACGTGTGGCTCATAGGATTAAAGGGGACTTTTCCTCTTATCTAAGCAAGAATTGTCGATATTTTATTTAGGGTCAAACAACGTGGCAACCAACTCTGTATTTACATTCTATATAATGTATGTGACAATATTTTACTAGTCCAATTGTGTCCTCCAGAGGCTGAACATGCCAGATTTATTTTATTTTCCTTTGTTAGAACTACAGATTGAATTGATCCACAACTATATAATGTGACTCAGTGATTAAATTGGATCAACAACTTGATGATTGAAACGTAGCTGATGTTCTTTGACTTGGCTGTTATTCCTGACTATCTAGGACACTCATGCATATTAGTAAAAAAGATAAGAACAAGGTTGTTCATGTCTCTGAGCAGAAAAAGCGTTTAAATTTAACTGTGGTCTATTTATTTTGGGTGTCCCCGTAAGCCAGTTTGTCAGCGTGCACAACACCTGATCTGTGTCCCAGTTCTGCACACTTAACAGGAGCTTAGTGACCCACGCCTGAACTAAACGTGCCAGAAACTGCTATTTCATTCAACGTGTCAACACTGTGTAACTTCCTATAATGAAGAACAATAAAAAAACAGTTTTGGACACATGAAAAATGAAAGCGTCTGCCTCACTGTCACCTCTGCAGATTTATATAATAGCCGCCAACTTTGTCCTACAACTTGCCTAAAGGTTCAAGTTATAAGAAACTCCGTGTTACAGGTCATCCGTTGTGAAAAGGTTACGAAACGGTTCTATCACAGAACGCCTCAAAAGACAAAGAACAACTATTAAATTTCAAGCAAAACGTTTTCCTGTCCTGTTAGCTTTCATTGTTAGTGACATTGTAAAGCTGCAGTTTTATTGACGTCTAGTTACACGTTTTATCGTATCATTGTCAAATATTTCAATTCCTTCTATGCTAACTAAATGCTAAAACACAACATTAAAGTTAGTGTGTCAAATGACACTGTGGACTCAGCACGGGGCCCAGGAGGACCTATATGGAGTGCAGCCATAATTATTGTCATTAATGACACCTAATCTAAGGAATGAAACCGGACATGAACATCAGCTGCCACATTTCGTGTCATTTGGTATTCTCTGGACGTCGCTCTAGCTCGTTCACTGAACTACCTCCATGCTGTCAATGACAGCAGTCCACTTTTCCTGCTGCATAACAACTTCATGATGTCATTAGACAGCTCACATACTGTGCATTTTAGACATTGTTGTCACACTATAATGAGAATACCATGAGAACCACCAAGAACCTTAAACCCAGAGAATCGTCTGCTTGGCAACTCCTAGTCCGGGCTTCTTTTATATACTGTGTACTATGATCACTTTACTGCATGTTCTGTTTTTATCCAACTGTCTTGGCATCACAGGAGCATTGTTCTGATTAACTGAACTCTTCCTTTAGTGGCCGATCCGTCATGGAATCGTGGAGGACTGGGACCTCATGGAGCGCTTCATGGAGCAGATCATCTTCAAGTACTTGAGGGCTGAGCCTGAGGACCACTACTTCCTCCTCGTAAGAGCCATCAAAAACCACAACTAACACCTTTTACCAGCCAAAATAACAAATAAACAAGATGCTATCTTCTAAATACATTGTGTGTTTATTCTTAGTCCCATTTAACGATAAGCCGAGCAGCTCTGTTTCCTGCTTTTAGTCAGATTTGTACTTTTCAAGTCTAAATTGGTCACAGATTAAATGTGCTGTGTCTTTTGTTTTGCAGACAGAGCCTCCACTCAACACGCCAGAAAACCGAGAGTACACCGCCGAGATCATGTTCGAGTCCTTCAATGTGCCGGGGCTCTACATCGCTGTGCAGGTCGGCCTCACGTGCTCAGATGTGTAGTTTGTGTCTGTGAGCAGAAACCTAGTACAAAAGGCGGACGTAGCCTCTCGTGCCTTAAATTTACTTGCGTTATTTCTAATAGAGAGGCAAGAACAAACCTGCTTGTATAGACGTCTATAAGAAATAGTGTTATAGCCAGATCTTTTTCCAACATCGCTGGAGAATGGTCTGGCTGCAGCTCAGTGTCATTCTGCTATCTGGGGGGAGAACACTCTGGTTTGTTTGTATTTATTTTTACATTTTTGGCCATTTGAGTCTTTATTATAGAGAAGATTTAGAGAGACGACATGCAGCAAATCCTTGGACCGAAATCAATCCGTGGCCGTAGTAGCCCCTTTAAACCAGGTGAGCCTCTGGGCTGGCCTTGTTTTCTTTTATTTAAACTAGTTACAGTCATCGTGGGCTGCGTTAGGTTCAGGGTGCATTGATGCTGCCAATGAGGTGCAGTAGTGTTAGAATTGCCTTGATGGAGTATTTGCGTCAGAATGGCAAATTCACTCATTTTCAACATTAAGGTTGCTGCTTGCAGGTTATTGTTGTTTCCCACGGTCAAGATTTTAAAAATCACAGTAACATGCAGTTTGCAGAATGGAAGGAGAAAGTCGTGTTAAATCTAAGTCTACACCTGGCGAGTCAAAACAATGAGAAGATAATCCTACGTTTCACACGATCTGTTAAAGATTTCCTGATGAACTTATGGTCTCAGTTGCTAATTTCAAGATGTAAAAGATGGTCCCGTTTAAAAGTAAGGTGTGTTTTAATGCAGGTCTAGCATGTGATTAATAGATCATTACTGTGTCGCTGTGCACAGCGTCCTCGGGTTCTCCAGTCAAATCCAACACTCGATTGTTTTGTCTATTTTTAAAGAAGCAAGATGGCAGCAGTCAACTTCTAAACTCGGGTGGCTACGTCCGTCTTTTATACACAGTCAAAGTGTGAGAAAGATGCTGTACCATTGGGAAATGTAATTTAGTTTTCCTAAGATGCACTAGAAAAAGTCATTTTTTAAGTTAATCGTTGTATCACCTGTTGGACATGTGCACTGATTCCCAATGTGACCGTACGACTAGTTATTACAACAGCAAAGCCTCGTGGTTCACACAAAGCTACTACAGAGCAGCAGCGTTAAAGTGTGAACCTACAGCACCGTATGTACTTTATCAACATGTCTGACGTCTCCCTGTCCGTACATAGGCTGTGCTCGCTCTAGCGGCCTCCTGGACGTCCAGACAAGTGGGAGAGAGGACGCTGACGGGCACCGTCATCGACAGCGGAGACGGCGTCACTCACGTCATCCCCGTGGTGAGTCTTCCTTCCCCACCAAGAAGACACACAAAGCGCAAACCTCCTGCTTCCTATACTGTCGACATTTATGTGTAAATATTGAATACTCTGCACTATGCATTCCCTTGTGGCCGTTTAGCAGCTGGGCATATGATAACATCCATTGTGTTGTGCTTTGTTTAAACACCTTTCAACACACTTGTGCCAATTTACTTTAGTAGCAGCTTGTTATTCATACAGGAATCAGGTAGGAGTTTTTGTAAACACCAGCTCATTAAGTGGTCTTGCACTTTAATTTTAAAAGAGAGATGTGGTAATTTATTTCTGCTCCACTCTGAATGGCCTTTTAATTAATTGTCCTGTTCATTATGGTCATTTGTTGATTGCTAATAAACACAGATGGCTTACGTTTAACTGTGTTTATGAGCAGCAGTGTGTGAAATCCGTTCATAAAGGTGTTGTGTTAGGATTTCACACCTGCTAAATAACTGAATAGTGCTGATGTGCAAAAGTAGGCAAGAGTGTTTGAGAGGTTGGACGAACTTGCTCAGTTCTGTGAAATGTGCTTGCAGAATACATTTAGAGCCTGGCTGCCTGAATCAGCATGTCTGTAGCCACATGTGCAAAAAAAAAAAAAAGCCAAACACAGCGCTGCTGTGATGTGGAAGGCCTGGCAGTATCTGATGAAAACAAATCCAGCTATAAGAAGTGGAGACTCTCAGTGCATGTTATTCTGTTACGTTGCACCTTTACATGACGCCCTCTCTTTCCTTCTCTTTCTGTCTCTCTCAGGCTGAAGGTTACGTAATCGGCAGCTGTATAAAGCACATCCCCATCGCGGGCCGAGACATTACCTACTTCACCCAGCAGCTCCTGAGGGAGAGGGAGGTGGGCATCCCACCGGAGCAGTCGCTGGAGACGGCCAAGGCAGTGAAGGTGGGTTTGCTGCAATCCCCAGCGGAACACTTCCTCTGCTAAGGAGGCTGTTACTGCAGTTGTTCAGTGTGTCACCGGTGGGATTTAACACATGGCTCCGTTACGGCTGTTAAAACACCGGCATGGCGTCCCTCTGCTCAAGCACAGAAGGAATATGTGTGGCGATCGTGATTCTTGCGCATGTTATTAAACTACCGTAATTTTTGGACTATTGAGCACACCTGAATATAAGCCACTAACATTGATAAGAAAAAAAATTGTACATATATAAGCTGCAGATGTAACATGAGATATTTAAACAGAAAGATTTTTTAAACTTTTAATTAAATACGTACCGGTAATGTACCGTAAATGCTTTTTTCTGAACAGTGCCTGTAACACGGCTGGTTAAGAAAACAAAAAATACAGTCGCCTACCAGGAAAAGTCATTGATCGCTATCTTCATCTTCCTCCTGCGCACTAAAACCACTAAAGTCGTCTTCTTCAGTGTCGGAATTAGTTCGTCACACACATCCTCAGTCTGTCTTCCGTTGTCTCTCTCAATGTCACTTTCGTCTCGAGGCAAATTCATAAAAATCGTAAACGTCCATAAATTAGCCGCATTATTGTTTAAGCTGCAGTGTTCAAAGTGTCTGAAAAAAGTAGCAGCTTATAGTCTGGAAATTGCAGTACTTTTTAGACTCCTTTCCATTAATCTGACACCACCTGAATGTGTCGGCTTCATGACTGAAGTCAAGAAGTCACAACGCACCTTTCTCATTCACTGTGATTTCACATCTAAACTGAAGCGTCCATAGAAATAAACTCACCTGCGATGTTTGTAGCAGGTCAAAATTAACGAGACTCACCAATGATGAAAGTGTTACAGGAGCTGAACTCTAGTTTGTTGCTTCCATATGAGTGTATCCGAAACAACATCAGTAATGTCATTAGTTACTTCTAAATTGAAATTGTTCCTGACATGGAGATTAAGTTCGGTTAACAGCAAGTCCTATCATAAACGTTTTATTTTATTAGCCACAGTTAAGTCGTTTGTTATATAGCGGCGGTCCTCGGGTCGAGTCCTGAGCTCCATCACAGCTGTCGGGATATTTTTAGTTTACACTTCGGAAAGTAGTAAGATTATCAACGTACATGGGCAGATTTTAGGGGCAAGTTCAGGAAATCACAAAGTATTTGGTTATTGGACAGCTTCATAGGTTGCATTTTTTGTTCTTTATTGTCACGCATTATGTCACTTGACGTACTGTGGCTCTCTCCATCACTGTGGTAGGAACGTTTGACTGAAGCATGATTAACGTAGAAGTCGCCGACGTACGTCTGATTGACAGATTTACCAGACTGGTGAAGCCAGGTCTGTCATAAAATCGTGTATCTTCAGATTGAGCAATTTCCGTACTTTACAGCAAATGGATTTAACAGCACAGGGATTTTTTTTGACAGTAGATTTCCACGTGTTTACTCAGTTGCTGTTTGGAAAAGGTAAAAGCATATAGCCTGACATGAAATGAAATTCAGTTTTTCGGTTAAAATCTAATGCTTTTCAGCTTTTTATTTGCATGTGCACCGATCTGGAGCTTGGTAAATAAGCTACTTATAGAGCACTAGCAGCAGGAGACGCTTTTCATTCTTTGCAGTAAGAATGCGTCTGTCAGAAAAGATGCACAGGACTCCGGCTTCATTTACCACAGTGACAGCACTTCAGTTTGAAAAATGACACGGCAAGGGAGATTTCACTGTTTTCTACGTGGCGACACCAGATGGCGCTCTCGGTCTGCCTGTTACGTGCAGCTGGTGACCTTCCACCACTTGATACGTTTGATTTCGCTTCGTTTAGTTTCTGATCGTGAATTATTCCACAAACTGAGATCGAATCAAACCACACAGCGGCCCAGATTTGAAGAACATGAACCACACGTGCTCTTTTTGTGAAAGCTGAATTTGTGTCACCAAATTTATTTTTTTTTTAAATCAGTTTTCAACTCTTCAGGTCACAACTTGTTATGCCTCTGTGTTCATTGCGTGTGTCTTCTCTTATTGCTACTCCTTCTGCCAATCACGGCGATTTATTGATTTGCCTCAATTCTCCACGATTCCCTCATGTTTATTAAACAGCTTGTTATCCAGGACTTTGTTCTCGATGTCAAGGACCGTTCTTCATTACCCCGGCACAAACAAACAAGAAATAGTGTGAATTGAAATAATTAGCGCTAGCGCTGAGGTGATGCTCGTTGTGTACGTTGCCAATCATGTCTGGAAATGTTAATTCAGCTGCTGCCTGGCTGGAGGCAGAAACCGCGTCCCTGCAAATCAACATAACGACATCTTCCCTGAATACAGTAAACCGTTATGTGCTGCTCATTCGCTTCCACTGTTACAGGAGCAAGATCGTTCGCAACCACAATAGAATCTGAGCACGGTAAACAAAAAAAAACAGCCCCCGCTTCCCTTATTGTTATTCTATTACAACACAATGACAGTAAAACTGTGACACAAACAGAGGTGGAATGATTTAGCTGCCAAAGTCAAACTGGTAGTTCACAACCTGCCGCACGAACACTGACACGACTTTACTGCTGGTCTGCCCGTCAGGAGCGGTTCAGCTACGTGTGCCCGGATCTAGTCAAAGAGTTCAACAAGTACGACACAGACGGCTCCAAGTGGATCAAGCAGTACACCGGCATCAACGCCATCAGCAAGAAGGAGTTCACCATCGACGTGGGCTACGAGCGCTTCCTGGGGCCGGAGATCTTCTTCCACCCCGAGGTTAGTCAGCAGGGCAAATCACGAGCAGGAAAACACCGTTATTATGTATATTATTATTATTATACATAATTGAAACCAACAGATTGACCAGACAGTTGCACATATTAGCTGCTGACTATAATGGATATCAGCTACATTGGAAAATCTCACATGACGATATTTGTGCAGAGAAAGAAAACTGGTGGAAAGAGAAATGTGGGACAAGAAGACAGTTAAAAGATGCGATCTTGAACGTCTATCAGTTTTATTATCCCCCATAAATGTGATGTTAATTGTTCAATTCCTGGTTGTAAGGTTATATTTCCCAGTAAAGTTGTCATTTATGAGAAAACACATAGACTTTTATTACAATATTGTATTAAATAATGACGAATTACACTGGGTTACAAAGAAATACTTTTTTGAAGGTGTCTAGGATTTTTTAACTGATTTAGGACGTTTTTACACCTCTGAATCCAAAAATGACATCTGCTTTTCTGTGTCAGGTCAGGTTTTTATGGCAACTTGATTTAAAAAAAAATTGATTTTACCACTAAATCGATTACTTTTTTTGACATTAGCGATTTATTTTAGTATTTCTCATATGAAATTGGATTTAGAGGAAAAACTTCATTTTCTAATCTTTTTCATAAACTAAATGATCCAAACGTTGATGAGCGTAAACATTTGTAAGGTAAATAGAAGTAAATTGCATGTTTCATCAAATCAAAATTTTGACCTCATTGAGCAAAACTAGTGTAATATTTGGATTCAGCGCGTTGCAATTGTCCAAAATCAGCTCAAAAAACTTTGACACCAAAATGGGTGTGTTATAGTCTTTACAGTAGATGACTTCTTTATGATTGTGAAAGCTGTTACCATGATTACAAAACCACTGAATGTGGCCCAAACCGGGTTTATCCAAACCCAGCCTTATCTCTGACGATGGTCAAACATTCTCACTATTTACCTGCACATCACTCCGGCATGTTCTGGGATGTAACAACTACATTCTGTGTTACACGCACAGCACAGGATGACGTGTCCTCTTTGTCTCTCCACCACCACAGTTTGCCAACCCTGACTTCACTCAGCCTATCTCTGAGGTGGTGGACGAAGTCATTCAGAACTGCCCCATCGACGTCAGGCGTCCTCTGTATAAGGTGAGCTGGCATCACGTCTTCAGGGAGGACTGTCTTTCCTCGGTTCTAGGACACTGAAGACACTGTTGAAACGCTGACAAGTAGAAGTTACTGTTCAACAAGACTGGCTTTGACTACACCTTCAGTTATTACATAGTCGGTCTGTGATTTTTGCCAAATAGACAAACTGCTGTTGTGAAAAAGTGCGATTAATTTCTTCTAAGCGAATGAGCCTGGTTACAGAAAATGGACGTTTAACAACTTAAAGAGTCTGACCTTGGTGTCATCATGCTGAAATGTTAGATTTATTTGTCGTGTTTATGAGGAGTATTTCCCATCCTGTAGCTTTCACTACAATAAAATACAGAGCTTAACAAATGTATTAGACCACCGCCCAATGTCAGGTTTATACCACAGCTGCCCTAAATTAACAGCATCGGTAATTACCAAAATCATTTCTTATGTTTCTGTAATGGTTAATACACCAGTATGTAGAAGCTCTTTGACCAAAATGATATTTTTAATGCTAAAATATAATGATTACTGTTAGCCATGAATTTAAAAAAAAAAACACTGTTTTGCCAAAAAAAAAACAAAAGCAAAATACTAAAGCACATTATTATTTCTTGATTAAGATGTTAAATTCTAGTTTTTTTACTTGCATTCCTCAACAGAAAAATTAGTTTCAATGGTTGAATGTTATGACTTCCCAGAGAAGTCTCAAATTTGGGTATAAAAAAAAATTCAGTTTAAAATTCCTCATCCCTGTTCAAAACGGTAAAATGTGGAGAGCTGAGTGTGAATTAAAGCACTTCATGATGCTGTGTGGTCTATATATATATATATTTATATACACAGAGCTTAACAAATTGGACAGGTGGTCTAATAAACGTGTTAAGCACTGCAGACTGTTTCCCCCAGACTGGCTGACCTGCACCCGGCGTTAACGGCCTCCTGCTCTACAGCTCTGTAACCACTGTCGCCTTTTTTCCTTTTCCACAGAACATCGTTCTGTCGGGAGGCTCCACCATGTTCAGGGACTTTGGGCGCCGTCTGCAGAGAGACTTAAAGAGGACGGTTGATGCCCGGCTGAAGATGAGTGAGGAGCTGAGTGGAGGCAAGCTCAAGGTGAGAGGAGACGGCTAATTTATACCGATCAATACCGCTCGGCAAAACACAATTACTGAGAGAAAAGTCCTTTTCCCTCTACAGACACTGTTGGCCCAGAAACACATTAAACGTCCATCGAGTGATTTCAGTTGCAAATTCACGTGCTAGAAATTTAACAACACCTTTAAAATGTGCAATCGAAATGTTTTAGCCTTTGATAGCAGTCAGGTAGCCTCCTCCTGAGCCGCTGCGTCAAACATAGGTGCACATCAAACGCTCAGATTTAAAAGAAATGTGTTAAGATTCTGTTTATTAATCCAGTTCCCTCCATGCCATCCCACCTGTATCGCTGCTCCTAATGTGCCTAACTGATCCCTGGTGTCTCCTTTCTCTCTGCTCCCTCCTCAGCCCAAACCAATCGACGTCCAGGTCATCACTCATCACATGCAGAGATACGCAGTGTGGTTCGGTGGATCCATGTTAGCATCAACTGTGAGTATCTCAACCACTTGACCACTTCATGACATCAGTTTCACTTGCCTTTCGTCTCGTGGGCCACGCGGCACTTTTTTTGTAAAACCCTTATTTGTTGTGCAATTTATTTCCGTCCTGCTGAGTGGAAGTGAATCCTGTGGGCGGTTGTGACATTTCATTATTCTTTTTCTCCCCCCTCTTGATGAGTTTTTTTTGTGTGTGTGTGTGTGTGTAAGCGAGGCTGATAATTTTACCAGCAGGAAATATGACTAGGAGCGTAGGGTCTCTGACGGTTGAGTCGCAAAAGGCTAATTGATGTTAAAGTCTAATAGAATCGCCCCCCACCCCCGATAAGATTAATCGTTCCTTTTATGGATCTCAGTTAGAGAAACTTTATTGCTCTGTGTTTCTAGCTTCCCAGTTGTATCCTGCATTGAGGGGCTACTTTATCATCTAAGTAACGCAGTCCTGATTTAATTCAGCGAAATCACAGCATTGACTGTTTCAGCACATCGCCACACCTCAGTTTCTCTGATGAGCTCTGATGTTTGCACCCCAAGAAATAAGAAGTAGAGCGTCAATAAACAGGCGAGACAACAGGGTTAGAATTAGAATTAGAAAGTCATGTGACTCGTCAAGAATCTTTATTCCAGATATCTGTAAATAATCGCTGCAGATATTTCAAACCTCAGTGTGACGGTTACTTATGTACCACCTCATGCCTGACAAAAGGTCCTCGGTACAAAGAAAACACCGCTTTTTCCAACCAAAACCCCAACACCCAAACATAAACATAAATGTACGCAGGGTTTAAAATGCTGATGTGCTCTTTTCTTTTCTTTTCTTTCCTCCAGCCTGAGTTCTACCAGGTTTGCCACACCAAAAAGGACTACGAAGAGATCGGGCCGAGCATCTGTCGCCACAACCCCGTGTTCGGAGTCATGTCTTAACTTTTGGACCTTTACAAGTCTAACGGTTGCGGGAGGAGGGGAGGGGGGCCGAGCTTTTTCGATTACTCGTTCAGTTACGGAGGTGTGCGACGAGAAGGCGATCCAGAAAGAGAAAATACAAAAAAAAAAAAAAAGGAAAAGACACCAGACCAAACACAGATGGGCTGGAAATTTTATTGTGAATGTTCCTTTTTTTCCCCCCCTGTTTCTTTCTTTCTTTCTATTTTTTTCTTTCTTTTTCTTTTAAAAATGAGGGAAAACGGTTTGTAAGCCAAAACAGTTTTAACATTTCTGGATCTGTTGAGAGATGATGAGGATGAGGATGGCGTTGGCGGATGTTGACATAGGATGATGAAAAAACTAATTCCTGACACCAGAACATATTATTTATGTTTATCCAGACAAGATCCGATGACTCTCGAGGTCAAGTTTAGAACATATTATTGTCTCCTTTTTGTTTCCAGCAGTTTCTTTTCAGCTTCAAATGCACATCTCTGTGTATCACCGTAAGAGCTTGTTTATATTTCATACAAAAGTTTTTTATATGTAAAACTTGGGAAATCAGGGGTAAAAAATGAATAAATAATAATAATAATAATAAAACAAAAAAAAAGGATACCAGTATCAGCAAGAGACTGTTTTAATCCACGGTGCAGCTTTGATACGCAGTATTTTATTATTTTTTTTCCTGCTATTATTCCCCACGTGTCATCGCTGTCTGCCCTTTAATTCTCTGTACATGAATTCACATCTGCTTTCACTTCGGACCGTGTCAGGTTTCCACCTCTGGTGCAGTGAGAGGAAAGAGAGAGAGAAAGAGAGAGAGAGGACTTACTGAGGTTACAAAAAAAAAAAGAAACTGAATAAGAATGACTGTCAGACCAGTATTGTTAGACTAGAATTTTTTTTATTAAATACCAAATTATTAAAAGAATGGGATTTGTGTATTTAATGCCTTGCAACATTCCAATAAAGGCTCCAATTTGTTTCTAAGCACCGGTGTCTTCATGGCTTCTCTCATTTCAGTCAACTAATCCTCTTTTTTTTCAGTTTTTCCTAAACAATAATTCCAAAAAGCCTGAGGATTTCTGTTAATGTTGACATAGTCATAGTTTCATTGTATGTTTTCATGCTGTAGAGCTGATTTGGAAGCAGCTAATCTACAGGTGTGCTGTCGGTCAGAAGGCTGGGGTTTGAGTTCAGCTCGGTTTCCTTTGGAGTCGACAGTTGTTTGCTTTGCAGCTTCAGTCCTCGGTGTTGACGAGCATCAGGTACAGTCGTCCTCACATGTATTCACACCCTTCAGTTAAAGAAAAGGGAAAATTCCCAGTAGTCACTCAAATAACTAGAAACTGAAAAAAGTAATAATAAATAAAAATTTGCTGAATTATAATTTAGTGAAATAAGACATTGCTTTTGAATTGTGGTTGAAAAGAATAATAAAAAAACAAAAACAAAACTGTCCCGGGCAAATTAGAGCACTTTGCTGATGAGCCAAAATCAAAATAGCTGTCAGCAGGTGTAGAAGTCTGACTGAGAGTTACAGAAAACACGTGATAGCAGTGATTGGCTCAAAGGATTGTTCAACTAAATATTAGTTTATGGGTCCCATCATGCTTGTTTTTTTCCCCCCTATATACATATATGAAGTTTTATTTCTTTTGAACCACAATTCAAAAGCAATGTCATGACTTTCATAAAATTTTTATTTAATATTACTTTTGTCAATTTCAACTTATTTCCATGACAGCTGTTTTTTTTCCTTCTCTAATGGGAGGGTATGAATACATTTGAGGACGACTGTATATCAGAGGTAACTTACTGTCAATTTACAGTTCATGGATTTATTTTCATGCTGTAAGAGTGAAACACTGTTTGTACAGTGGTTGGTAATTCTAACCGGCTGAGTAGTGGAGGGAGAAATATTCCTTACCTGCTTCATTTATGGCTCCACAGACTAAACAGGACAATTTAGGCCAGCTTTGCTGATAGTAAACGACTATAAATGCCAATTAAAGGATGAAAACTTGGCCAGTGGGCGGCTCGCAGAACACTTAGAGCTGATCTGCACCAAAACTGAACCTTCTTCCTGCCTCATGTGCTGGAAGCTCCTCCTACAAGGATAAAACATGCAGTTCATTATCAGTTAAGACATGTAGTTTGTAGTCGTTACATAGAAATAGGTTCCTTTAGTAACAGCAGTCACAGTTGTTTAAGGTGTTCTATGAAAACAGGCCAACTCTCCCCTTTGTTCTCCAACACAACTCAGTCTGAGAACCCCCTATGATAGGATGTTTTGGGATCTCCTGCCTCCTATTTAACCGTCCATACAATGGACCTTCAACCCGCTTGGCGCTAAATTGGATCAGCCAGAGAGACGCTTTGCTTTTATTGGTTGTTTGGCGACCGATTTGTGTCCAACTGGCAAATTTTAAAGCGATCTGAAGCGTTCGAGTGGTTCCTCTTTTTGGTTTAATGCAACAACAGGCTTCCCCACATTTAAACTTTAAAACAACCTATCACAGCGTCCCTCACGCTGATCAAGCACAAACCAACAATCGATCAATTCTGTGCACTGTGCTTCTTTAGAACATTTTCAAAATGTAAGAAAAACCGTTTGTAAGCAGAAACTATTTGATGATTCTGGATCTAGAAGCCGCTGATACAGTGAGAGCTTAACCTGACCGACAGCTGGAGGAAAAGTTTCTGTCTTGATTGATTGAAGTAATAGAATCGGAGGTAATACTGTGTCCAATGGGCAACTCACTCTCCAGAGGGCGCAGCAGTACAATGTAGTTAATTTGGATAATAAAGTATAAAACAGTTTATTAGTAAATGTTAATGTGGTTCTCCATCATGTTTTTACTGAAGTTGAATGGTGCCATTAGGACTGATGTGGGCTTGTTTCCACTGGCAGAGTTATTGGCTAAACCGCCAAGAGGTAATAACAGATCAAGAGATGATTTCCAATTAAAACAACAAAACAGACATGTTTCTAGATGCAGCAGTGAAGTCCAGAGTCCAGAAGTTGTCTGTGTGCTCGCTGACTGGCATCAGCCATCTGCAGGGGGCTTTACAATGATCGGCTCTACAGATAGCAGCGACTACTTATATTTATCCAGAAGCTATAACCTGACCTGCCCATGCCAGAACCGTCTCCTGCTATAGCTGACCTGACACTGTTTGGCTCCTCTGTTTGGATCAAGGAGTAAAATCAGGATAGAGGCTGAGTTTCCACCTTCCTGATCACACATCAGCTCATGTGCGCTATCTTACTCGCTCACTAGAGAACACTTTATTCAGACTTAGTTCAGAGTCATTTTATCTTAATAAAGTGTATTTCCTGAACTCCTGTCTATTGCTAATTTGGTGGAGGAGAGGAGAGGAGCCCTGACATTTTAGGTTTTAAACTCACACAATCTAATATTTTGTTGGACCGTCTTTAGCTCTGACTACGGCACCGTATCAATAAGCTTCTGCAGTGTCACAGCATTTATTTCAGCCCATTCATTTTTCACCAAGATCTTGTATTGATAATGGACCACAAAGTCTTCTGCAGAACATCCCAAAGATTCTGAACAGGGTAAAGGTCTGGACTCTGTGTGAAAGATTGCTCCCTGAACCTCTCTTTCACAATTTGAGCACGCTGAATCCTAGCGTTGTCATCTTGGAATATTCAGTATATTCAGGTAGTCCGCTGACCTCATTCTTTGGGCACGTTGCTGAACCTGGACCTGACCAACTGGTAGGCACTAGGCATGATGGGTGCATCACTTCATCCGCCTCTCTTCTTACCCTGGACTCATCAGACCACATGACCTTCTTCCATCGAGTCCAATTTTCATGCTTCTTAGCAAATTGAAGCCCTTTTTTTCTCCGATTCGCCTCACTGATAAGTGGTTTTCTTTAGGCTACACAGCTGTTTAGTCCCTTCAGTTCCCTTTGCATTGTGCAGGTTGGGATGCTCTTACTTTCACTATTTAACATATACTGTTGTTTTTTTTTTTTTTAACGATTAGATTTCACCAAATGTTTAAGATCACGATCATTCCAGATTTTTTTCCAACCACAAGATAATGGTTCCCCACTATCCTTCCAGTTTTTAATCATGCGTTGGACAGTTCTTAACCCACTTTTAGTAGTTTCAACAATCTCTGTATGTGTTTTTTTTGCTTGATGCATGCCAATAATTTGACCCTTCTGAAACAGATGAACATCTTCTCCACGACCACAGCATGTGTCTTTCAATGTGGTAGAAGCTACTTGTCACCAGCTGAAACATAATCACCCATGCTGTAATTATCCAATGGGAGGCTCTTACCTATTTGCTCAGTTAAACCCAGGTGGTGTATGTCCTAAATGTAAAGTGCTTTGCTTACATTCACAGCAACACGCATTTTGGAAGCTTCCCTAAAATCAGTTAGTATTCTGCAACTTGTACACCTGAGGGCAGCCTGCAGAAGAGCTTTGCCAGCGTTTAAGGGACGTTTCAATACGCTCGATGCATAAGTTCTCTTGTTTTGTGGGTTCCAGTTCTCTGTCTGCTGACACTCATGGAGCAGCAGGCAGGAACTTCATTGTGTGGGTTAGTTCTCTTTTGTTACAGCTCAGATTCTTTGCTTCACCAACTTCCTTCGCGTGCAAACACGTGCACATCAAACCAAAGCTGAAAGCACTTTTGAAGCCCGACCACCTTGTCTCCCTCCTCATGCTTTCTAGGGCAGCACAGGCTTGAGACTGCAGGACTCGTGTTTTAGTTTGGACAGTACTTAGCGAGTGCTTCTGACTGAAAACTTACCCCGAGGCAGGGATGAACAAGAAATAATTTTAACGGCTGCACTCGCAGTCTTTTCCTCTGAGTGATCTGGGCAGTGCTTTATCCCGGTGGAGGCCAGATTTCCTCACATTCCCTCTGCGACCCTGAACCTGAGTCCTCTGGGGGGGAGTGTCCTGCTGCACTGCAGAGGAGGGGAAAGGAGCTGCCGACGCCACAGCTGTCTGCACATGAGACGGTGAGGCGGCAGTGAAAAGATGTGTTGGAGAACTCTTACCGCTGAAGTCCTGCCAGAGCTGGACCTGCAGGGGGAGGCTGATGTAAGCAGTGTTGCTCCTCACAGCTCCTCACTTTCTCAACAAATGAGTCTGACATGAAAGTTATGAAAACTACCAGTGTTGTCAAGCTTGCTGTGTGGTGTGTTGTTAACCTGTGTTATTTGACCAGCATACGTCTCCTGGTCAGCAGGTGGTGCTGAGCGGCTTCTCCTGAAGAACAGCCAGAGAGTCCCTCAGCAGCTGGTGAAATAAAAACAGGAGTCCATGTGTTCATAGATACATCAACAAGCACACAACCTACACACCTTGATGTCATTCTGCTTCATTTGCACTGAGGTTATAAATTGATCTCTTTAGTCCAGATGTGTTTTTCTTGAATCTTCAATGAGAAAGCCTTTTTTTCTATTTTTTCCCAAATGATACCACACCAATCCTTCAGTGTAGGACTTTTCACTGTATTCCTTCTTTGTTTTCTAAACCAAAATGTGGCCCAGATAAAGGATCTATAAGCTCTGGGGAGACTTCAGCCAATCACAGGTCCTCTCACTAATCAGGTGAGATAGTTTAGATTGCAAATGTAAACAGAGTCATCGTGGCTCCGTGTTCGGTCAACGTGGTTTAGGATGATTGTGGTGCAGCTGAAAGAACTTTAAAATTCTAAAAACTATGGCAGAAATCTGGAAAAAGCCAAAACAAACAAACAAAAAGCTCTAACCCAGGGGTGTCCAATCCTGGTCCTCGAGGGCCGCAATCCTGCATGTTCTAGATGTGTCCTTCTTCCAACACACCTGATTCAAATGATCAGGATGGTTATCAGGCTTCTGCAGAGCTTGATGATGAGCTGATCATTTGAATCGGGTGTGTTGGAAGAAGGAAACATCTAAAACATGCAGGATTGTGGCCCTCAAGGACCAGGATTGGACACCCCTACTCTAACCTCTCTC